TATTTAGGAAGCATTCTTGAACAAATGGACTCTCAGACAGACACACAAACTCTCTCAAATATATAGTAAATGTCATGGTCCTGATGGGGATATGTTTATGAAAAACTACAAGCAATTACATATGAGGCAAATAAATATTGAAAGAGTCTGGGGGTTAAAAGTGAAGCAATTAGGCACATGTTTTAACTGGTAAAGGCTTATAGAAAAAGCTAGAGTTATTTAGAAATTTGTAAGCAAAGTATCACGTGAGAGAACAAAAGAAAAATATAGACACTCTCTCTTCACATGTCTGTAGTGAGACTGCACCTGGACTATTATATTAATTACTGGACTCCATACTACCCAAATTATACTGCCAAATTGGAGGAGGTCCAAAGAGAAGCAAACTCAAACAAGAGAAATTTGCTCAGGAGGAAAGATAAAAAAAGCAAGTAAGTATTGCTTGGCTAACCAATTTCTAAGTGTAGCAGGTGGGTGAAATGCAGATGGGCTGAGCTCCCTTTCCACCTTCAGCAGAGTACAACATGCTGAGTCAGTGTCTAAACTCATTCCTCCCTCAATCCCTGTCAGCTTCCTAGATTTATTAATAACTAAAAATAATACAGCTGAAATCTAGGCAAAAGCTTCCTTCCAGAATGTGGTTGTCCCTAGCGTTTCCTGCAGATTTCCTCTGTCTTAGTTCCTTCTTGCTTCAGAAAATTTCCCATTCTCTTGCATCCAAGTTCAATTTAATGAGCCACAGTGGCTTAGCAGGAATCATTAAGTATTTACCAGAAGATTTTAGAAACCTGTTATAAGAATGCTTAAAAGCAAAATCCTGTCACCCTAATAAAGGGGCCACAATAACAGTTTACACATCAAGGAAGTGTGTTAGCTCCATAAGGAAGTAGAATTATTTAGTATTGTATTCCTTGACTTTGAAGGTCAGATGGGACCACTCTGATATATTGATGTAGCTATAAGAAATGGAATGGAAAGAAACATTTCCAGGAAAAGCTTCCCCAATACTCTAAAATGTTTTCCAAGTAAGCGAATGAAGCTTTTTCACTTGGGACTATAAATTTAGACTGGATAAAGCATTAGAAATTATATTGCAGTGCTGAGTTCTGTATTTGCAGGAAAATAAACTATAACTCTATCCGTATGAAAGGTATCTGGAATAGTCTCATGTTGAGACTTACAAGTGTGAAGTGTATCACATAGAAAAATCAATCTTCAGCATCAGATCAGTAGATGCCATACATCAACTTACTTCCAATTTCAGTCAATGAAGTTGTTGATCTGGCCCAAAAATTTGAACAACCAAACAAGACAGAGAGATTCATGGTTAATAGCTTCTGAGAGTACTTTTTTTTATTTCTACTGGACAAGCTTCCTTCTAAATAGCACATGTAAGTATGTGAGCATTCCTCTTCAGTGTCACTATTCTGCACTTAAGCATTTTGTGGGAGAGAGGAGTTAGCACATGCTATGTTCCCACAAACCTACAGAAAATGCAGAGCAGAAGTAAGATTCTTAGCTATTAATAATTCCTCATCAGTAACCATTTTGCTGTTCTTTCTGTAAAAACAGTAAATTTTTTATAGAAAAGCTAAATCCTAAAAGGACACTTTGAATGTCTGCAGACATTCACAGAGCAATCCAAAATAAGCCCAGCATTTCTATATTACTCATATTGTACAGGTGTTCATTTATAATTTCTTAAAAGTGTACTTTGAATCATTGCCTATCACCCAAGATGCATAAGGGAATATATAGCCTAAAAAGATACTGACACTGAACATTGCAACATAGATCTAATATGCATTATGTCCTGAAACTCGTGATCAGAATACTGTGGATGTTAGAGTCAAAGGAGATAGTTTGCATAAAATCCCCCATAGCAGCAACATGTTCACAGACTTGTCAGCATAGTGAGGCAGTTTGACTACAGATACACCTGGAGAGGGAGGAGCCCCCTCACTGGACCTTGGTGAGCAGAGCCAAGAACGCAGAACAACCCTCCCATTGAAAGTCAGTGGGTGGGCCAGAGAAACCAGATGTCTCCTGCAAACTCCCAAGCTGGGTGGCTACTCCAGTCCCTGAGGGATCTGAAGACTGGCCAGAACCACCAGGGCCATTTACAGACCTGAGCACGGAGGAGCTGAAAGCACTGACAATGGCCTTCTTCCCCACTGATTAGGGCAACCCTCTACAGAGCCAGGTAAATCCTGAAGAAGGGTTAGGAAGTCACCCCTGACTGGCTTCGACCATCCTGACAACCAAGTCATCATGTTGCATTCAGGATCCCGACTGACCCAGGGGCAGATCGCTCTGCCACTGAAAGGGCCCTGGCCCACAGTGGAGTGGCCTGTGTCCTCCCCGCTACCCCAATCCTGGGATGGCTGTCTCCCAACATCCCACTGATTGCCCATGTCAGGCAGCCCCCAGACACATAATGAGGTGGACTGACTGCCCACAGACCCAGAGCGGGAGGGGCAACTCTCCCCACTGGACTACAGCCAGGAATGTAAAGTTATCTCACCAGTATTATCAATGATTTCACTCCAGATTCTCCAACAGGGTTTACATGCACACTTACATGCACACTTTCCAGCACAAGGGAAATCAACAGGGATGGGGGAGATAAAAGGGAAAAAAAAACTGCAAAAAAAGGGGGGGGGGAATTTTGGGAAGAAGTTTCCTGTACTCTCTGCTCAAAAGTTAAGTGGTAATAAAATAAACAATTCTGGTATTCTGGCTAACTCAACTGAAATTTCACCCATGACTGGGCTTGATTTTTAGTCCTTCATGTCCCAATTCCCATTAATCTCTTCCTATTAGCACCTTAAAAACAGGAGGAGCTTGAGTATATATTAAATGCAGTAAGTGCCAGTTTTAGTTCCTTGAACACTTTCTGACTACCTTAAATTAAATACAGAGTAGCTCAAATTGTTAAATACTTCTTTTACTGGTAACTCCTTACATTTTTAGTCACCACCTACCTAGGTAACTCATTCCAGTCATAAATCACGTCCCTCAACCCCTTGACGCTTTTTGTTGCCTCTGCTAGACACACTCCAATTTTTCCACATCCTTTCTACAGTGGGGAGAGAGGGGCTCCAAACTGACCACATTACTCCAGATGTGACCTCACCAATGCCAAATAGAAGGAAATAATCACTTCCCTTGATCTGATGGTAACATTCCTATTCATGCAGCCCAATATGCCATAAGCCTCCTTAGCAACAAGGGTACACTGTTGACTCAGATCCAGCTTCTTAGCCACTGTAATCCCCGAAGTCCATTGGTCCCCAGCTTGTAGTAGTGCTTGGGATTTTGTTTTAAAAATGGATTCCTGGAGGACCTGCTCTATGATCTTTCCAGAGGCTGACGTGAGGTTGACTGGTCTGTAGGTCCCTGGACTCTTCTTCGCTTTTTTAAAGATGGGCACTAAATTGCCTTTTTCCAATCATCAGGGACCCACCCTCGATCACCAAGAGTTCTCAAAGATAAATGGCTAATGGCTCTGCAATCACATCAGCCAACTCCCTCAGTACTCTTGGATGCATTAGATCTAGCCCCATAATCTTGTGCGTGTACAATTTTTCTAAATCGTTGGCAACCTGTTCTTGCTTAGACTAAGGAGAATCTTACTCCATAAATACTCCATCAGTTTGTCCCACTTAAGTTAATAGGATTAAGTTGCTATTCAGTATGGCCCAGTGATATAAGGGATATTCATTACTTAATACAAATAGAAATAGAAATGAAATAGTAATTCTGAAATATGTTTAACAAACTACTGAAAACCTTGTTTTAATATTAGAAGAGTTTGAGACAAAAATATTAAGGATGGTCCAATATGAAATTAGAAGACTTTGCTTGAACAGTAGCCTACATGGTCCTCCTTCATCTTGCTCCATGTTTAATACACTTTTCTACTATTTTCAAAGTAAAAAAAAAACAACTTTCAACTCCCAGTTTGTTTATTATTCCCTACAACTGATATAGGGCAGTAAATCTATTTTATTCCCTTTTCCCCAGATTTTCTTTTCAGAGGTACTCTATGGCCAGCAGTTCCAGTGGATCTTTACTACACACAAAAAAGTGTACTAGTACATTTTTCCCTTAAATACCTCTAACTTGTTATTACATTCTTTAACTCAAACATTTTCATCCTCTTAACTATATTTTAATATAGATTATCTCAATGATCTTTTTCTTCCATTCATCATTACCTCCTTCCTCATTCAAGATGGCATAACATTCTTAAGGTAACTACAGCAATCAATTACTTGGAAAAGTACTTTAAAAGTATTTGAGCCAGACATCCTTTGCTGGTGTAAATCAGTTTTACTCCAATGACTTCAGAGCAGCTACAGCAACCCTGATTGACACCAGTTTAAGGGCCATCCCTCTACTTTTTTTTTTTTTTAATATAACACAAGCTGGAAATGAATTAAAGAAACCACCATCACGTGACCAGCAAATGATCCACATTTGAGAACTACTGGTCTCTAATGCCTCACTCATTTGTGTTTTTATCATCCCTAGAAGTGAATGCTGAGGGATTCATGCATCATTGCATCAGTTTTACATTAGTGAAACTCCACTGATTTCAATGGAATTAAACTGTCTTTAGGCAAAATCTTCAAGGCAGCACCCAGGTATCAATCTTCCTTTTAAAATTAACAAACCAAACTCTCATCTCCAACTGAAGTCAGGTGCATTTTCTGAAATTGTATCTTCAGATTATCTATTCCTTGAGGAGTTCTACTTCCATCTGAATTGTATAGATTTGACAGCTCTCTAGGTCCTTGTTTGTGATGGTTGGCTAATCCCAGCAATAAAGACATAATTTGTTTCACTGTAGTAGGTCCATGTACTGCTTATCAATTCTCTTCTAACATCTTTAAAAGTTAACTGAGTCTATTATTTAATATATTTTATATCAGAATTCTGGATACATTTTTTGAGGAGGAAATCAGACATTTAAAATAACAAGTCTAATATTGTACCTGAAAAATTCCATGAAAGAGAAGCCATAGCCATGCTGTTCTGCAATTCCTGCACAAACAACATTTGCAGATGCTCCGATCAATGTCCCATTACCTGTAATTAAAAAAATGTCCGTTTATATTTGTAGAGTAAGAAGCAAAGGACTTTTGCCAATCAGTTAGTCTAGGTTGAACACTTTAGACCTGCTAGTTGGAAAAGAAAAAATAAATTATTTTGCATAAATCTGAAAGGAAGTATCTCAACAATATCTCTCAGCCTATAAAGAGCGTAATGCTTTCATAGATAAGCTTCAAACTATCTTCAGATTTCCAGCAAACAAAGTGAAAGGGAAGAAAGCATAACACTATGTAGTCATAGTGACACCAATGACCTGTATTCAGATAAACTTTCTGCTTGTTGTTTTTATAAACAGAGAGATGCTAGCAAGTTAAAATGAAGACAAAGAGGAGGAAACACAGGAAAGGAAGCACTTTTCTGGAACAATATGTTGAGCTATTGATTGAAAGTACTAAGACAATGGATGAATTTCTTCTATATATACACATGAGATTGGCAAATTAATCTCTTACATTTTCATTTCCCTCTTTCATTTCTGGCTTTAGAATTCCAACTCTACAGTGGTTGCATGAAAGTGAAAAATAAGGTAAGCTGTTCATCCATTGTTCATTCATTCATTCATTGTTAAGGCCATGATTCTGGAAAGGAAACCATATGGGGAGTACCACCTTCCCACCAGGAGTTCCACAGTTGTCACTGGGGTAGCATGTAGGTGCACGCACATACTCACACAGATCCTTTCAGAGTATCAGGGCCAGAGTTACACTGCCATGAACTATTCTACTTGTGGCATTATGACTAATTTGCTGCATTTCCTCTCTCTCCACAAAGTCATACATACACTTCTTAAAGGTAGAGAGCAAAGCTGAATGACAGTGCAGCAGGACAAAAAAAATTATATCAAATCTTTGGAAGTGTATTCCCACCCCAAACAGTATCAGTCATTTGAGGACATCTATTGACTTCACAGTTAGTTTCTTCACTTCATCTCTGTCTCTCAGTGCGTTAAGAAATGTTTATTTAGAAATATTAAATCAAACTTGTGTCTTACATGTACACTAGGACAAAATGTCACAAGAAGGGCAAGACACAGGAAATAGATCCAAACACAAATAGAGTGCAAAGGAATCAGGCAAGGAAGATTAAAGAATTTTTAATTCCAAAACAAGTCAAACTAATAGCCAGTCAATTGTCTTCAAACATGCTCCAAAAGATTGTTGCTTTGATGGCAGCACATTTCTTTGCCAAAATACACTCCCAAAAGGAGACAACAGAAACAATGCTACTGTAACATGAAGAATCTGTATCTTCTTTTAGATTAAGCAAACAGAGTTGACAATATCTTTGCATCTCACAGATGTATCAAAGTATTATAGGGATCTCCAAATAACAGAGGAGTTTATATACTGCAAAGAAGCTGCAATAATGCCTGAACATAATGAGCCATCTTTAAAAAAAAAGTTTCTGCCTTTGCAATTAATTTATTTCCCAAGATGGGTTTGAGATGGAAGGGACAATTTCAAATGTTCTTGAAAGTATCAAGGATTTTTATTTGTTTGGTTTGGGATTGGTTTGTTTGCTTGTTTGTTTGTTGTGTTCATGTGATTTAATTAGATTTTTGTCTTAGATGGCTTCAGGGATTAAACTGAAATCCACAATAAAAACAATCTTTTGTTTCCTCTCTTTTTTAATTTCTATCTTTATAGTAGGTGAGGTATTTGGTAGTAAAAAAACCAATTTTACAACCAAAGAATCATAAAAAATGTAGGATAAAGCAAATGTACATGAAAACCTATACACAGGTCCAGTACATTCAGGTATGTTTTGGTAAACAAGGATCAAGTATTTTCCAGGAATCCATAAAATCCCTGCATGACTACTAAAGAAGAGTGAGGGCTAAATGGTATAGTACAAACTTTTACTTTTTTTTCTTCTATTTATTTGCTTAATCTCAATATTATACAAAAGACAACAAAAATTATTAGGGGTTTGGAATGGGTGCCATATGAAGAGAGATTAAAAAGACTAGGACTTTTCAACTTAGAAAAAATGAGATTAAGGGGGGATATAATAGAGGTCTATAAAATTATGACTGGTGTTGGAAAAATGAATAAGGAAAAGTTATTTACTTGTTCCCATAAGAACTCGGGGTCACCAAATAAAATAAATAGGCAGCAGGTTTAAAAGAAACTAATGGAAATTTTTCTTCATGCAGCACACAATCAATCTGTGGAACTCCTTTCCAGAGCATGTTGTGAAGATCAGGATTTCAACAGGGTTCAAAAAAGAACTAGATAAATTCATGGAGGTTAGGTCCATTGATGGCTACTATCCAGGCTGGGTCGGAATGGTGTCTCTAGCCTATTTTGTTGCAGGCTGGGAATGGTTGACAGGAAAGGGATTACTTGATGATTACCTGTTTCTGCTCACTCCTTCTGGGGCATTGGCATTGGCCACTATTGGAAGATAGGATATTGTGCTAGATGGACCTTTGATCTGAACAAGTATGGCCGCTCTTATGTTTTTATGTTAAAGATATCATGTCAAAGAGCAACAATGCAATAGCCACTGTTCTTATTGTTCTCATGAGATAATGATATCTATCACAATCTGCTTGTAATTAATGTAGGGACAATGGTGTTGTAAAAAAAGCTTAATTAACATGTGATAAATATAATATTTTTCATAGAAAAAGGAGGCAGGAGACACTTGGTATAGAGTTAATTAGGCCATAACCTTAATATTAGATGTCTGGGATCTCCTGGCACATAAAAGTGTAGCGTGTAGGCAACCTCCATGGTTATTCAGATAACTAGCTGGGATTTCCATGAGCCACCTTTTACTTTCCATGCAGGTCCATACACCTGCCGTCATCAGAAAGTTAAGGTGTGCTATAAGAAAAAGAGTTGACTCCCTGCCATATCAACCAAAGGAGCTCCAACCTTCACCCCATTCCATTCCTTTAACCAACACCTCCTTTTTTAATCCCTTTAACAGGCCATTTATCTGGTCACTGGGGCCTGGTCTAAACTACATGGGAAGGTAGAAAACAGACACACAACTCCAGCTACGTAAATTGTCTTTTGACTTTGATTTAGCAGGTCTATACCACACATTGTAATATTATACAAAGGTCTATACTATACCCACTAAACTGACCGCAGCAGCAGCAATTTTCCATGTAGTGTAGATGTGCCCTGGCTGCCTTCCCTATAGATTATCTGCACTGAACATCCACCACAAGCAGGTGCCAGCAGTTTGGTTGGCTGCCTCTTGCTGTCTGGAGAATGGGCTTCTACTGCCAGGGCTTGCACCTTTTTAAACCTTTCGCCTTTACATTCCCAGGTGAGAAGTCAACATCGCCAAGCTTATCTCCACCCACTTTTTTGTAGCAGTTTCTCATGACCTCTCACCACCCCATCTATAAAAAACTTTATCTTCCTCAAGCAAGCCTGAACAATGTTTCCTTTTCTATTCAATTCAGGGGAAGTGCAGACAATTAAATGATATGTGAGTACTTTGAGGCAGGGATTAGAATTGTTTGTATATTACCTAGCAAAACAAGGTGTCTATTCTTGATTGGAAAACTTGTGCATCAGTGTACTTAATAAATAGTTCCTCTTAATTTTTATGCTAAAATATTGCCACAAATTTCCTTCCAAACATTCTCAGATGGAACAATTTAAAACATACAACAGCTACAGCCAGAAATTTAGGTTTCTAAAAATTCAAAGTTATTGTAAAAACATTCAAGCTGGGATTTATCCATAACACTAAGAGACAAAAGGTGTTTATAAAATAGCTGACTTGGAAAAACTCACACTTCAGTAAAACAAATACATCTGTCATTCTGTTGTTCAAAAGCCTTTCTGAGATTCTAGCCAAAGGCCAACCATAAAATCATATAACTGAAGTCAATGTGGAAGCCAATGGACCCAGCACAATCTGAATTAAGGTTAGAACATGAAAAAGATTTAGTGGCAATGATGGATAATCTTCTGCAGTCAATGGATAGTACTGTACGTGGAAATTCATTTACATCCTCTTGGGTCTGCTCACTGTATTTGACCTTGTCAAACATGGGATAACTAATGTCCCATTTGAGAGCAGTGGCAGCAGAAATAATGTGTTAAATGACTTAAGAACTTCCTGGAAGATCTAACCCCAAAAAACAATGAAGGGAAACTGTACCTTCATTACTAGACCTCTCACTTGCAAAGTCCCACAAAGATCAGTTCTGTTACTGGCCCTATCCAACATCTGTACACATGCATTAGTTGATCTGGCTACATGGCATGGATTTAAGTGCCAACAATATTCAGATGACTCACAGCTCTATATCTTTGTAACCACATATGACTATATCACTCACACCAAGATGGCTGAGTTACTGGATGAGAATAGCTCACAGGCTGCATTATGCCAAGGAGAGAAGAAAGAACTTTGATGTATTTGCATAGTGCAGTCTCCACTAATTGAAGGTGACAACTGAAAAATTGGTTGATTTGGCCTGTAGTTTAGGAACACTCCTGAATTCCTCATTGACACTAAACTGTGACCCAGCAGCATCTGCAAGTAAAGCTTTTGCCATCTGTTGGCTAGGAGATTCCATCCAATCCTCCTGGACCTGATCTCAGTTATAAATGTCTTTGACATCTCACAGTTGGACTACAGGTGTGCCATATATCTTTCCCAGAGTGCATTACGTGCAGACTAAGGGCCTGATTCTGAAACACTCATGCACTTGCCACTAGTCTCACTACTTCCATGCAGCCACCTTCTATAAATAAGTATTTCACACTCAACCTTAATTGTTGGAGTTGGAGCAAAATCAGCAATCAAAATGTCTGCCATTCAAGAAAAAGTGTAGTTTTGTTGTTTTGCAAGCTTAAGGGGACACTAGGCAGGCTGCAGCAGATCCTTTGAGCACCTTTACTATCTCCTGCTGTGAACAAATCAGTAAGCATCTCTATCTCTCTAATGCAAACATCTATAACATCAAGACATAAAATCTGACACAACAAAAGACACATCTC